TAAAAGTTATATAAATGCCCCAAAAGTATTAGAGGGTGGCAGGAAAGAGATAATGTATTGCACTAGACAACCCTTTCATGCTTTCACAAAAGAAAAGCAGCTCTGTCCTTCCATTATGTCATGAATCCTAATTAGCATTAAATGATATTCCATTGTTGGTTCAGATAAGTTTGTTTGCTTAATGGTTTGTTCTTAATGCATTCTACAATGCAACTAGGAAAATATTAGACAAGAAAATTATTACCATATTGGTCCCACAAAAGGAAAGGCAGATTAGATAAAAATAATAATATTTCCTGTACAAGATAGATTTATCCGTTGAAAGCTTATAGAAAAAAGTGGTTTCTATACTACGCACAAAAGGATGTATAATTTTAAACTGATGGAATAATTGAAATCATCATTTTAGAAAGAAAAGAAAGCCACAATATAACAACAAAGGAAAGTGGGGGGAAAATGTTTTTAAGGGAGCATTAAAGGGCAAACCACACATTTCCTTCATAGTATAAGATCATTCACATCTATTTCTTATCAGAAAAAGAAAGCAACTGTATATAGTAGACATTTATCTCATTCCTCTGTGCTAGCTTGTTTTTGCTAAAAATGCCCCCAAAGTGGCTTTGTTTTGCCCCTCATTATTTTTAGCTTGCTGCTAAAAAATAGCATTTGAGCAATAACCTGTACCAGATGTGAAAATATTTTACTGAATTATGATTAGCATTATCAAGTTAACTAAATAACATAAATCCAAGCTGCATAAAGAAAAAAATATACAGCAAGCACACAAAAATCTAAAGTCTTTAAAGAGAGATTTACTCTACATATGCAAATTTATCATTTATATAAAATATTACATTATAGTCAATTGCTATTGACATAAATTACAAAATCTATCTGAATTTGATAGACCTGTATTTCCTGCCTCTGATATTTCATTATTTTAACATTATGGTTGTTTCCTAATGTAGCCATTTAAGATGCCTTAATCAGTTGTTACGTTATCTAGAGTTTTCCAGTGTTGGGCAATTATTATTCTAGCTTGTAAAATGAAATAGAGACTAAGTTCCTTTAAGTATTTTTATGCGTGAGATTTAATCATGTAAATAAATGCAGTCAGCCAACTTAATTGCCCCACACTGGAAAAGAATCATAATGTTAAAATAATGAAATATCAGAGGTTGGTACTTATCTCTCCAAAAACTGTATGTCAGAATGATTTTGCCTTATCATATGAACTATAAAATGAAGGCAAGAGATCAGACGATGTACAGATTGCCAATCATTGTTTCTTTCCTGTTATCTTGGTTTATTATGTGCATTTTATTTATGTTGTACCTTTGAGCCAATGTGCACTCCTGACAACTGCCCCCACTGGTCCCCGCAGTTTTCTTGGCAAGATTTTTGGAAATGGTTTCCCAGCCCTCCTTTCAAAGGCTCAGAAAGAGGGACTTCCTCAAAGTCATCCAGCTGGCTTCATATCTAAGGCAGGACTAGAACTCACAGTTTCTAAGTCACTGCCTTTTATCCCTGTACCAAACTGGTTCTCTTATTATATGTAGGTGGTTCTTTTTATGGCACTATATAGGTCAGTGATGGTGAACCTTTTAGAGACCGAGTGCCCCAAAACTGGCCCTACCCCGCTCCACCCGTCCCGCCCCCACCCCGCCTGCCCGCAGGGCCACTCATCGCCTCCAGGGCCCGCTGCAGATCGCCCAGCAGCGCCATGGCAGCCACGCCCTCTGCCCGCGCCCCACAGCATCAACTGTGCGCGATGGGGCATGAGGGCAGAGTCTTGTCTACGCTGCCTGGCTGCCGTGTCCTTGGCTGCACTGCTCCGCATGGGCCACGCTCGGGGGTAACTCTTCTCCAGGAGGGCTACTAGTGAGGAGGGGGTCATGGGGGGAGGCAAGGCTGGGGCAACGGCACGTGTGCCTACAGAGGGCTCCAAGTGCTGCCTCTGGCACCCGTGCCATAGGTTCTCCACCACTGATATAGGTTGTTTCTTCTGTGTAAATGTTTCCCAATTTAGATTATTCTCTAACAAATCTGCAAATTATTCAACCTTGTGTATACCTTTTAATCCTTAAACTAGCAATTGATCAGTCCCCACTCTTTCCTTTGGCATGTCTGAGAAAAAGTAAGAGAAACAATGATGATAACAAATATATAATAAATCACTATGCACTATATCTGCACTTGCTCTTCAATCTAAACATCATTCCGTCAATAGACACTGCAGAATTCTCACTCGTTCATAATCTCAAAAATGGAAAAATACTGACAAATGATGGCTATTGATAAATATTTCAATCTTTTAAAGTATGCTAAAAGTTGTTCATATTCATTTTGAAAATCTCTTTGTCCAACCATTTATTTTAATGCACACTGCTATATAAGTGTACATAATGCTCTGCTATTAGTCACTCTTTTGATGGTGGCAGTTGTATAAATCTATTAGAACTAAAGGTAATCCTCGGATTAACACAACAATTGGGACCAGGATTGCTGTCACTAACCAATGCCATCATATAGTGTGATGCCATGTGATCCCATTGTTTAATGACAATTGCCATCAGAACACACAGATCGTTTAGCAGGAAGAAGCGGGAATCCCAGGTAAGGAGCATTAAGGGTGCCGGGAGGGGTTGGGGGAAGCTGCACATGGGTCTGGGAAGGCTGTGGGAGACTGGCAGAGACTCTGCGTGGATCAGGGAGGCTGGGGGAGGGTCGGGAGAGGTCATGTGTGGGTCTTGGGATGCTGGGGAAAGTCTTGGGAGGACAAGCAGAGGCCATGATGAGTTTGAGGAGACCTCATGAAACCAACATAGGTGTGACAGGGTACTGTGGGTTGGAGAAAAAGTGGCAGGAGGTACTTAATGAAGCAACCGGGGCCCTTCCTGACCAGCTTCCTTCTTGACTTTGCGTGGGAAGCTACCACAGAAGGTCACAAATGCTGATCGTGTGAGAGGCCCACTGCAACATCATATTTGCAAGCTGGGCACCCAAGTGCCTGACTTACAGTCATGTGAGCATGGGACTCTTGTGACATCTGGTACTTTGGGACCAGCTGTATGTCCATTTTTTTTTCAGTGCAACTGTAACTTTGAATGAATGGACATAAGCCAAGGACTACCTGTACTTTAATCCACACCTAGGGTAATGAAGCCATAATTGATTGTAAAAATGTTTGCACAATGACTTGCTTAAATGGAATAAAAGTACTAAATATGACATTTGCACAAGAACAAAAATATGATACATAGAGGTTTTGAATTGCAGAATTGTGGCATTGAATTTTAAAACAATGTTAGAGAATCCAGAGTTCTTTTTCTTATTTCTTATTAGATTCTCTTGGCCCCTGGCTTCTCATCTTGCAATAAGTAAATATAAGTAGTTCCAGCCAATGTGATTCTAATCAGTAAACAAGAGAAGGATGAGCCAATATATTATGCTGCAAGGAAAAGTCCAAAAACTCAAAAGAACAAGAAAGATCTTCTATTAGCAAAAAAAAAAAAAAAGGTATGGAGTTTAATCTATTTATATATTTCTGTTATTTAAATAAACTAAGTTATTGTTGTTTAAGTGTGAGGCGATCTTATAAAGAATATGCAACTATCGATCAAAAGGATTTGTGTAACTATCCCTTCTCTTCCTCTTTCTTGGAAGTGAAGGAAAAAACACAATATGGACATTTTTCACATTTCTCACCATCCTACCCAAACTCCTTTCCTGAAGCAGGAAGTACTTTTATAGCAAATGATAAGCTCAATAATTTAATAAAACCATTTGCTTTGTTCAGTACTATTAAATATATGCAACTGAATCAGCCACACTGAATGTCTAGTTTACAAGAATAATGTATATTTTGTATCTTGGGACATCTTGTGATATTTAATTTTCCATTTATATTATCTCAGAACTGTAAGTTATCATTTAATACCCTCAGTGATATTATGAAGTCAATAATGGTATTAGACTTTGTAAAGCACTGGAAATCAGTTGATTATGGCTATATATAAAAGTAACAACACTTCAAAAATAATCCACATTTTTAAANTGAGAATATGGTGGTCTCATTGATTCTTGATTGCAATACAGTGTTAAGTGGTATGGACCAGGAAAGATAATTCTACACTGAATGACATAAAATACTGTTCGGATGATGCAGATATGACAATCCTTGCTATATTATTGAAGAAAACAAAAACAGAATGCCAGACCTTGTATCGGATGGTATATCTGGATCTGACATATTCATAGCCCTCTGTAAACTAGGGCTGATTTGGCTGCATGCTGTTGAGACCTGCTGAGCTGAAGGAGATAGAGGTCCCAGCCTCTGAACCACCATCGGACTGCTGGTGATTATCAAATTGTTACAGCTGCTTTTTCCAATGGACTTGCACTGGGATCCGTAGACAAAAGCTCCTAAAAATAAAGAAGTCAGTTAAACTATGACATTATTTTTTTAAATGACTCAGTTAAATAATTTCTAGTATGTTCCCCCCCCCCATCCATGCAACATTAAGGAAAAACTTTTTCTTTAAATGTAGTCATACCATATGTTAAGAGTCCCACTCTGAAGGAGACGGGCATTCAAAAATTTGAAAAATAAATGAATAAATAAATAAAATTGTAATTCATTAATTACATTAGTGAGGAGATCACATTATAAATCATTTTAACGAAAAGAAATGTGGCGTTGCAACTTATTTTGTTTTACATTACACTTGCTCCAGTTCACATAGCGAAGATATCAGTGCTTGCTACAGCAAATATAGATCTAAGTATCTTCCTCCACATGCCAATGGATGATCTCTTTAGTCCTGCGGCAATGCAGATGAAACTTCTTTCCCCTCCCTCACTCTCAGGAAAAAAAACTCCGACTGCAAAACAGTGCCTTCCACTTTCAACCCTCACACCTGGCCTAGAAGGCCGCCCTGTCCTATGGTGTTGAAGGCAACTGAGAGATCAAGGAGAATCTTGACTGTACCTTTCCTACCCTGGTTCAATAAAGGTCTTCAACTAGAGCAGGGGTCTTCAAACTTGGCCCTTTTATGACTTGTGGANCAACCACGTCTTGAGGGTGCGGCGGAAGGAAGGGAGATCAGGGATCACCCTGATCTCTGGGGGCAGTTCGTTCCAGAGGGTGGGAGCTCCCACAGAGAAGGCCCTCCCCCTTGGGGTCGCCAGCCGGCACTGCCTGGCCGACGGCACCCTGAGGAGACCCACTCTGTGAGAGCGTACAGGTCGGTGGGGGGTAATCTGTAATCATGTGTTAGGCCACAATTACCTCACCAAATATCCTGCATGATTTTTAAAATATTTCATTTTATATAGTACTACATTTTATTTTTATACTGTGAGCTACTTCGATCAGAAAGTCCTTTGTAGGCAGACAGTTAAAATGTTAAAATAAAAACAATCCAAGAAACTTTGGTGCTTGAAAGCAAGTTAAATAATAATAATAATATATTTAATATCTGGCTATTTGCTGCACTTTAAATCACCCAGAAATACAGTTCACCATTTACTTGGGAAAAAATATTTTCTTCCAGGAACCTGCCATTTATTAGAAGGTCTGAAAAAAGCTTACATATACTCAAAACTCTGTATCCGAGATGGGTAACCATGATATGCAATCCTACTACTCACAGAAAGGCCAAAATTCATTAGTGTAGGCAGCAGTAATTGATTTGGATCTATTTTAGGGGAACAAGGGTTTAAGAATATGTTATATAAATATGATACTGTGCCCCCCCCAAAAGATCAGACCATTCTTTTTCCTAATTCGCCTATTTCACTGAGCAACTTTTTAAACCAAAACAAATTTTTCAAGCACCCATAAACAGATGAATGATTTGTTTCACCGTGCTCGAGTAGCTCAGTTTAAAACATAGCATTTTCCCCCATTCATACATTTCACATTTCCATTTATTTACTCATCTTCCTGAATTAATATAAACAAATCCCATTTCCCTTTTTATCGAGATGTTTTCGTAAGAAAACACCAGCATAGCATTGAAAAATGAAGATTCGTGGATCGTTTGAGTGTGATCAACACCATTTTAAACTTACCGTACATTTGTTTGGCTTCTCCCCAGAATGCACTCTCATATGGATAAGCAATTTGTAACGGGCGTTAAATGATTTGTATCTTCGAGGGCACCCAGCCCAGAAACAAGTGAAGTCTTCCCCTTTCCTCTGGTCAATGTGAATTTTTTCTATATGTCGCACAAGTTCTTCTTGCTGATCGTAGGAAGCACTGCAGTCTATCCAACGACAGCAGTGCTTGCCACTGAAATCTTCGAGTTCACTGTCTTCATCTAAAAAACAGTTCTGGATAGATGCAGGCAAGGAAAGTGGACGGGAATGGCTGATGAGCGCGTGCTGATGTGCGTGATAGGGAGGTGGTGGACCATGTGGAGGAAGCACAGGGGGAGCCAGTGAAGAAGCAGAGGGAACACCATTTGCATTTCCAGAAAAAATATCCCCATGTCCACCCTTCACAAAGCCCATAGGTTGGCTCTCTACTAAACATGTACCTTGTTGAACCATCATATTATTTGTGATCAACGGCTGCAGATTGCTTTGCTCCAACTGTTGCATGCGCTGATATTCACCGTTTCCATTTTCACTGTAGTCTGGAGGGGTAGCATTGCAATTAGCCATAAGAAGCCTTTTTTGAGGATTTGGTATAGAGCAAGTCTGAGGGATGCAACTTCCCTTTATTCCTAAGAAATGCCCATAAACTTCAGGTTGAGGAGAGATGTTGCACGGAGATGTTCTTGAACCATTTATATAGGCAACTAGAGAAGTAGGGGAGGTGCGGATGATCGTATTGAAGTCAATCCCAATGCCATCAGACAAAGGGGACAGAGACAGCGCTCTCTTTTTTGCGGAATGAGATCTGACTGAGGAATGGTGAGGGCTAGAATAAGGTGGATGGTTGTTTTCCATACTGAGCAAGTAAGATGGCAATGAAGTAGAAAAGTTGTTGGACATGGATATCCCCGATGCAGCATTTGTGGCATCACCGAACTGACTGCTATTTTGTGAACTCGAGTTGGAGGGAAGAGAAGGATAAACTCTATAACCGTGAAACCACTCTTGTTTGACACTTTGTATTGACTGGCTTTCTGAAAGGCTCAACGTTGTGGACGCCAAAGATTCTCGTGACACGAGGGATCTGTAGTAAAGATCAGAAAAGAAAGAACAATGTAATCTTAACAATTGAATCCTAGATCTTGGCAATTACAGGTAGCCTTTGACTTAGAACAATTCATTTAGTGACCATTCGAAGTTACAAAAGTTAAAAAAGTGACTTATGACCATTTTTCATGCTTAGAACCATTGCATCATCCCCGTGTCACGTGATCAAAATTCGGATGCCTGGCAACTGGCTAATATTTATGATGGTTGCAGTGCTTTGGGATTATGTGATCACCTTTTGCAACCTTCAACGGGAAATCCAGATTCAGTTAATTTCAGATACTAACTTAACAACTGCAGTGGTTCACTTAACAAACGTAGCAAGAAAGGTCTTAAAATGGGACAAAATTCATTTAACAAATGTCTCATTTGACAATGGAAATTTTGGGCTCAATTTTGATCATAGGTCGAGGTCTATCTGTATGTGGAACAATTGGCATACACAGCTCAGTTACTTATTCTTGATAATCAGAATGAAAACTTTAAATCTTGATCTTTGCATATTCAAATGAGCACTAACACAGCTGAGACATATCCAATACTGTGTTACCATAAGAATTTAGCCTTTCACCACACTGGAAGTCCTGTGTACATCTTGAAAGCATCTTCTGAAGAACGTTAGGCCCTCATGAAGGACCAGTAATGTAAGTAGTCCTTCAAGCTTTTTATCTGCAGTTCCCTGCTCTTTACCTATTGCTAAAACCAATTTCCAATGTCTTCGTCATCAGCACCAGCATCATATGCCTTCCCCATAAAATACTAAAAAGTAAAAAAAGATTCTGCCAATTTTGGTTACAGAATCATTCATTTCACAGGCCACCTACCCTCAACCACAGATCTTTGCCATAAGAGATTAGACATCACTACTTTATATATAACATTAAAACAATGAATTCATCAGCTTACTACATTTATTTACTAGAAATTTAACTACTAGCATCGCCACGTACATTTGCTCAAGTTTATTTAACGTTTTTCTTTCATTTATTTTAAAGCTCACTAATATTACTGTAGCCCAGAATTCCAATATCATGGAAGTAAACTCAGAATAATCACTGGCATGTACGAAACTAATTATTAGTGATACATTTAAAATGCTATAAGGGTGAGAATATGGTGGTCTCATTGATTCTTGATTGCAATACAGTGTTAAGTGGTATGGACCAGGAAAGATAATTCTACACTGAATGACATAAAATACTGTTCGGATGATGCAGATATGACAATCCTTGCTATATTATTGAAGAAAACAAAAACAGAATGCCAGACCTTGTATCGGATGGTATATCTGGATCTGACATATTC